TTCTGACATTAGCCTCACCCTTTTCCCGACACTGCGGTCCTAGGAGGTAACTTTACATCTTCCTCCACCACTATGGTTATCTCTTCCTCTGGTGGCATCCCAATGGCGTTCTCTCGCCGTTCACCACCAACACAGTAGGATTAAACTCGATCTGGGCCTTTGGCTCCGGAGCCAATCTTCTCCCAAGATTGCCTCCTTACACAGGTCGGGGGTTATGTAAAAATTTTGGGTGCTTTTCACCCTCCCAATCCTCACCATCCCTTTTATCTCCAGGGGGGGCCCCATCTGCTTGCGTGATCTCTATGTCCGCTTCCCTGTAACCTTCTCTTCCGTTTCACCCGCCTGTATGTCTCCTCTCTCATCAATGACACAGATGCTCCTGTGTCCGCCAAAGCCCTCATCTCTACCACCTATCTCTGCTCTACAGGATAGTTCTCTCTCTTGCGTTAGCGAAGAGAACACTTGAGCTTTCTTCTTCCTGGGTCCCCACCTTTGGGTTAACCCAGCCATAGGCGCCGGTAGTAATATATCACCTTCATTTTCTCATGAGGTGGAGTTCTGCGCCCCTGCACCTGGGCGACCCCGGCCGGACCTCTCCCGGTCTCCCATGGCCGTTTTAAAATACAGTTTCTTTTCAGGTGTCCTGGCCTCCTGCAAAACCAGCACCTTCTTGTTGGACAGCTTGCCGCAAAGTGGCCCGCCCGACCACATGTCCAACATTTTGCTTTTCCCTTTTTAACTGGGTTGGCCTTGTGTCTATCCTCGGGGAACCTGTCCTCTATTCAAGCGGTTCGCCCACCCACTGGTCCAAGTTTTATTTCTCTCCTTTTTAACTGGGCCACCTCCTCTTAATTCTGGGGTGGCCCGCTGGCTTTTTCCCTGGGCCGGTCTCTTGGGCTCAGCCTTCTTTGTTAATATCGGTGGGGCACCCTTCCTCAGCCTGGCACCACTTAGCCAGGTGTCCTTCTTACCACACCTGGTGCACCTGTCACGATCGAAGTCTGGGGCAACCCCACTTCGTCGGACATTCTGTTGCCCTGTGGTCCTCGTACCCACAGGTCCAGCAGATTAGCCTGTATCGACCCGGCTTGGGCTTATAAAAGCCATGCCTGGTCGACCATGCCCTTCTATTGGGGTCCTCCTCCCATAATTCTGCCCGATCCACCTCTTCCTTAACCCTCTGATTCCACACGGGGTTCTTCCGCATACCCCCCTTCTTCCAGCCTCTTGACTTGGTATCTGCTTCTTTCCACACCTCTTCACTTTATCCCACACCCCTGGCTCTCCCTGGCCAGCTCTATCGCTGCCGACAGTCTGAGCGGTCCTTCTTTCAATACGTCGTGACGAACACGCTCGTCGTTCAGCGCCTCTACATACAGGTCCGCCAGTTGAGCCTGCATAACCGCATTAACCCTGACCACTTCGGGGAATGCCAATGACGATAGCTTCCTGCTCGGGCCCCTAATTCTCCGGGGTTTCATCCCGTAGCTGTGTCAGTTTTAAAGGGCCCTCATGGCCTCTATGGCCGTACATTCGTCGACGAATTCTTTGGTCAGCAGTCTTTTTATTTCTTCCCAAGCCAAGCGGGGTTGGTTCTCCAAGACCCCCCTCACGAACTCAGACCCTTTTCCCTTTGTGACATCGTATGCCAAATACAGGGTTTCTTGGTCCGAGAGCTCGTAGATGGTTCGGCTCTTCTCGAGGATTGCCAGCCAGTTTTTAAACTCCTTCCCGCTGCCATCAAATACTGGGACCCTCGGTCCACCCAACAGCTTCCTTAAATCCACTGACAACCCCCGCCTTACTTCCTCTTCACCCCCCACTGCTCTATCCGAATCATAATCTGACATGTCTACAGAGAAAGACAGTCTATACAGCAACAATCGAGGTTGGGAAAAAAAAACAAGGTGTCCACCTTACAGACGATTCTGTTCTTTCTTTTCCTTTGGTCCCGGGTCGTTCTGAGTTCTGTCTGAATTTTCAGCAACGGCGGTCGATCGTGGTCTTCTCAGGGCTGAAATCCCTCGGTCACTGCACCACTTGTGACGTGGTTGTCTCAGGGTTGATCCGTTGGTCACGGCACCACATGTGACGGTTACACACCTGGCCCAGGGTCGAATCCCTTGGTTACGGCGCCAACTGTGACGTCGCTCCTCCTGGTCGCTCCTCCTGGTTCCAAGCGTGCCGCTCCAACCCCTTGGTTGGATGATCACCAGCCTCGCCTTTCCCAACTCGCTTCCAATACCTGGTTACTGAAGCAACTGTACTGATCTCCGGTCTGTCTACCCACGTTGTGTTTAGATCTTAGACAGACGGGACCAGCAGGGATTGGGGCCGATACAAGTTGAGTCCGACGGGGGTGGCAAAACACAAGTAAAAGAAAAAAAAAAACTCACGAGACAAAAAAATTACTGATAAAAAAAGGGTGACAACCTTTTATATCTAATGTCCGTTACATAAAGAAAAATTGTTCTCAATTCCCGACCCGCTCTGTGGACTATGGCACAAGTTTCTATCACACAACCTAAAGATTTCGAATTGCCTACTTTAGAATTGTGTATGTCGGAGGTGGTTTGGTTCGACACTGGGGCTAATTTCTATCGATCATTCGCAGTTGATTCTTCTCTTCGACTTGAGTTGTATTTCTTCTTCTTCGTCGACTTAGGCTGGAAGTTCTCTTGTCTTCGACTTGGGCTGGAAGGATCTCTTGCCGCAACTCAGCCGCAACTCTCTGTCGTCCGAGGTGGTCTCTTCTCGCTGCCGTCCGGGGCTGAACTCTGCCGTAACTCTGCCGTAACTCTGCCACAACTCTGCCACAACTCTTGCTGCCTGTCTGGCCTGCAATTCTTCTTCTTGTCTGCCTGCAATTCTTCGGCCTGTCTGGCCTGCAGCTCTTCTTCTTATCTTCGACTTGGCTGTAACTTCTCTGCGGCTTGCGAGCAATCTTCTTCTTCTTCGATTTGGGCTGGAAGGATTTCTTGTCTGAGGATTCTCTTGCCCGCAAAGGGGCGAGTGAATCGGGCCTGATGCCCGCGTTCAGGCTCTATCCCTGCCCGCGGTCCAGCTGCAACTCCACTCCAACTGATTTCTGTCGACTGGGGTCCTGCTTTTATTGACGCCGCAGCAAACCGGGGTGGGTCTGTCGGCGTCAGGGTTTTCTCGATAATTTCAAAAGTCGCATTATTTCTGTCTTCTCATTATCGCTATTATTTTCACCCTACTTCCTCATAGTGCCTTTGGTGGGGAGGCGCGTATGTCAGGTGACCGCTTTCGACCAATGGTTCCTGATCGAGCATTTCTTTCTTTTCTTTTTCCGCAGCCACGTGACCGTTTTCGGCTAATGAGACTCTGGTTGGGCGTTTTCCTGCAATCAATCGGGGCGGGCTTATATCGTTCTTGTTCTAAAAAAACAAAATCTAATTTGGCCTTTTTCGCACGTACGAAAAATGATAATCTTGGCTTTTTCTCACCTGGGTTTTGTCAACACAGCCTGCCGCTAATTAGATGTGACTTCAGGGAAGAATATTGGCGCTATCTGTGAACTGAGACAATCGTTTTTTTTTCACCTCTTGTTTTTGGTCAGATCCGACAGTCAGAAAATTATAATTATCTACATTGAAATTGTCTTTCACTCGTCAATGTGGGGGTTCTAATTTTAACAGGTCAGAATCTGTATACAATTCCACCGGTCCTCCCCTCAACCCAAAGACACTTTTTCTCTGATTAAGATTTCGTTTTCATTGTTCCCAAAATTTCCCTTTATCCAAATTGATAAGGTGTCTTTCTACGCAAAAGTAGGCTAGATGCTTTGACCGATATCTGGTTTTCATCAAGCGGCCCGTTTTGATATCATGTCTTTTCCCTTTCTTTCTTTTTATTATTTCTAATTCTATTCTTCCAATTGTCTTTAAAAATTCGGTCAACATGCTAGCTAAGATATCTTTCTGACTCGTGTTTTTGTTAATGACCGCTTTTGTATTTCTCGACCTCTCTTTTTGCTTTTTCTCTTTTTCTTCCTCTTCTTCCCTTAGGATCGTCTAAGTACAATCTTAGTGAATTATTTTCAACTCAATTATTTTCCGTTTTAAAAAAAAATCAACAACCTGTTTAGTAAACCGAGTAAAAAAAAAAAAAATTAAATCATATTTCTATGAATATTTCTAATAATGCAAGGTGCCACAGTCTCTACCGAAGAATTTACACGAGTACAAAATGTCGTACGAGATTCACTCGTTTGGGTCAGAAAGTCAGAGAGAGAGAGTAGGAAAATTTCTGCCTAAACAATTATCGGCTGATCTAAGGAAAGTAATTCGTGGATCTTCGTCTGCACCCTACGATATAGCAGTCTGCCTTCTCGCAGACTTGTTGACGAAGTTATCTGGATTCGTACGGGTTCTATTTCGATCTTTTGGCTCGGATCGGTCTTCTTGACAGATGGCAACCAACAGACCAGACCAGCAAATACCAACAAGCCGCCTCTTCCGCGTTCTGATCTCCGAACTCCGAACTATTCTGACTAACTCAAGCGTGCGGGCAGCTTATATAGAGAGAGGCGGAGCTAAACCATCTTTAGGCACCGCCTCCGAATTTTAATATGCAAATCGCCTTGACAACCATGTGTTTCCACCTATTCTCCGGGTCTCCGCGGGCAACCAGTTTTCAAGAGCTACTAAAATCGGATTCGGACCTCCTGCTGGATCTTCCGCAGACAACGTATAATTAAATTTTGCCAAAACCACTTATCCCGTCTGGCTGAATTCCGCTATTCAGACCACCCAAAAATCCAATTTGCACAAACTTTACTTTACTTTATCACAAACTTTACTTTAACGAATCCGTCTCTTAATCACTTTGGAATTATTACATGTAATTAACTAATAACTCAACCCCAGAAACAATTATTAAGAGAAAAAAACAAGAGAAAAAAATAAACTTATTTCTGGAATTACTCCGGAATCCCTTCGACCCAACTAATTAGTACCTTCATCCTAATTCTTTAGCAACGTTGATTACTAAATCCACCTCAGGGTGGGTGGGGGTTCTCTCTCTCTCTATGTCACATCTCAACATTGGCATCACTATTTCAGTGTATTCATTTTTCTTCATATAATTTATTCAATCTCATAATGCTTACTATCTATCTATCTATCTCATAATGTTTACTATCTATCTATCTATCTATCTATCTAACTTGCTAGCTAGCTAGCTAGCTAGCTAACTATCTCAGGACGTTCACCATCTATCTATCTATCTATCTATCTATCTATCTCATAATGTTTACTATCTATCTATCTATCTATCTATCTATCTATCTATCTATCTATCTATCTATCTAACTTGCTAGCTAGCTAGCTAGCTAACTATCTCAGGACGTTCACTATCTATCTATCTATCTATCTATCTATCTATCTCATAATGTTTATTATCTAACTATCTATCTCATAATGTTTACTATCTATCTATCTATCTATCTATCTATCTATCTATCTATCTATCTATCTAACTTGCTAGCTAGCTAGCTATCTCAGGACGTTCACCATCTATCTATTTATCTATCTATCTATCTATCTATCTATCTATCTCATAATGTTCACTATTTTATTTTGGTTTGTTTCTTTGTTTAGTTTCCACTCTTATTGGCGACCACGCACTTAGAAGGAGCGTCACTTGTAAACGCATTGACACACGTAATCCAATCAAGGAACAACTGTGAAATGATTTTCAAGCCCGTACGTATAAATATACCTCATTGTTTGGTACATGTCGGCTCCGTGCTGTCTCTCGTTTTGATTGCGAGCGCGTATTGCATTAACTTATGAGACATCGTTCCTCAGTGTTTGAATTGGCGTCTTTCATATTTCGAAGAACTCACATTATTATATTTACAACCGCGAATTTTCCGCAGTTGTTTTCAGACATAATAACATTTAACTGTTCTGTGTGTACATTTCCCGTTCACGCTACGTACAAAATCATTTCGCTTATAACGACCGACCCGAGTCATCGGCCAGGACTTGAACCGAAAACATTTGATTTATTACAGTCTCAATGCTTCAAAGAATAAGATCCCAGGAATATATAAAGATGACGAGAAGGATTTCGGTCTTGAGTCAAAGTAGAATACGTTAGAGAGGAAACGAATGTTTACCATTTTCGATTTTGTAAAGGTTCTATTTCCAGTCTAGTTAAGCGCTCAAGTAAATATACTTAAGTGGCAAGGAATGGCTTACCAAAATGAAACTGCAGTCATTTAATCGTCTAAGGCAATGGTTTGCAACCAATTTTGGGTCATGCCCCACTTTGGTATTTCTATAATTCTGGTTCCCCCACCTGTAATATTTAATTCTTACATATTCAACATTTTACTGCAATTCACGTGAAGGAAGCTTAAAATGCCATTAACTTCGTCTCTAAACAAGCCTCCAAAGACCATGGCGTCCATAAAAGAGGAAAATTAAAAAATAAATAAAATGAGGATTGCGTCTAGCATGAAACAACCTGTCGCCTCTGAGTGTTGACTTTATTCTTCACTTTCCTATTTTATTTACATGCGTTTTATTCCATAAATTTAGAACACATTAAAACTATATTTCTTCATATATATATATATATATATATATATATATATATGTTAATCCGTGTTTCATTAAATAATATAGACAAGCTTTGTCTATATATTTTAAGTAAGTTCCTTTCCTATTATCCGATGAGATTAATCACATTATCATTGAAAGACGAAAGGAAAACACCATACTGATACATGTTTAAATCCAAGCTAAGCTTTCGGCTTACATAAGCCATTATCAAAGATGACAATTTAAATATATCAAACAACACACGGACGAAACAACAATGATAGTCCGCCCTTGCTGCATGAAAAATTTCAAAGCAACGACAAACTCATGTATACGAGACGCGGAAGCGAAAATCGCATCGTAGCACGTGACGTCACACATGGCCACGCGAGAGTGAAAACGAGAAGTATTAAGTATGGGAATCGTTGAAAAGAACATACTTAAAATAAATAGACAAAACTTGTCTATATTATTTAATGAAACGTGTATAATGAAAAATTGCTGCCTAAATATACACAATATATATATATATATATATATATATATAATTATTTCTTCGAAAATTATAACATAAATGTTATAAAATCACTACAAAAATAGCCATTATGTTTCAACACTTCAGCTGTCTTATCAAGTGATGAAGTTGAATGTAGAAAAAAGGGTTTTAAAAAGTTCAAATCAATCAAACACCCCTCGCTAAGGGAAATGCTGATTCATAAGATGGAATGACCAATCAAAATACAAGTATACGAGAATTAAAAAAACTTGACAACGAACTAAGGTTATAATAATTATTTAATGCGTTAATGTTGGTCTTAGAGTAAAATAGAATTTATTCTAATAAATATTAAATTATACGATAAAATTCTAAATTACAAATTAAAAATTACCCGATTTTAAAATTTAAATTTAATCTATATTATGTTTAAAATTCAAAAATTACTGAGAAAAAGAAGAAAAACTCCATATGTTATTTTATTTATTTTGTTTTTATTGAAATTAATTTGGAATGAACGTTAAGATCAAATGTTGCTCTGAACTTCATGACAACATTGATACATTTGAAGCATAAACAGAGGCAGGGGAGGATGACATCTTGCAAACGACAATACATACACAAACAGATTATAATATATAAACACGCAGTCAAATTTAGATATATACACACAAAAAAGCGACGAGACAGGAAATATCTCCACGACTCTTAAAAAAACCCACAAAAAACATACATACACAATGAAAGATACACACAAGTGACCATACGCACAGACACCAATAAAGACACGTACATACACACACATACATTGACAAAGACACGAAAATACACCTACCAAGAAATATTCAAGTTTGAAAGTGTTATTAAACGAATTCTAACCATTTATTAAAATATAACTTATACGAGCAAATATACATAGATAAAAATGGTAGAATAGATAAAATTCAACTTGGGCAGATACAGAAAAACAAACATTAGGGAAAGAAAGGACAGTAAAACAGATAGACATCGAGAGAAAAAAAAATATATATATATATCCATAAAAATAACATCATTTAATATATAAACACAAAATCACCAAACACACAAATATATATAAAAAATATATTTCATATATACCTATATAAACACTAGACTTTTCCCATTTTATCCGGAATTGTGATGCCACTGATGGATTTATGTGTTCGTTTGACATTTGCAGCCTCTTCACGTGTGTTCCTTTATCGGAGACTATTGATATTTGAAGTGAAGTGTTATATCGTAGTAATTTAACCCCTCTGACTATACCTGAAGGGGTTTTTGTTGAACTCATGAAATTTGCCACCATGTCTGTCGATTTTACTTTTAATAATATTATGTATCGTTAGATCGATGGTGTAGCGATGGGTTCCCCTTTGGGTCCTATTTTGGCGAATATTTTTGTGGGGTTTTACGAGGAAAGCCTTCTTTTAGGTTCTTCCCGGCCCAAGGTTTACTTTCGTTATGTGTTTGTTTAATCAGGAATCGGATGTTGATCAATTTTTCTCTCTACTCAAATTTTCATCTTGCCCTTAAATTTACAGTAGATAAGAAGGTCAATGGCTCATTGCACTTCTTAGATGCTTTGGTTCACAGAACACCTTCCTCATTTATTACTTCAGTGTATAGGATATCTACTTTTACAGGTCTCTATACTCGACGGGACTCTTTTTGTCCTAAACAACAAAAGATTCATTTGATTAGGACTTTGACCATAGGGCGTTGTTTAACTAGTATCTTTGTGAACAATGGTTATCCGTTGGATATTGTTAAATCGGTTATTCGGGATAAGACTGCCAGGTTTAATAGAGATGAACTTGCTACTGCTGTTAAATGTCCGGTCTATTTTCGTTTACCATGGTTGGGAAGGATTAGTGAGTCATTCGACAAGCAGATTTCATTTAGTTCGCGTGAGTGTTATTATGAAGCCAACGTTCGTGTTGTTTTCAAACCAAGTGACCTTTCATCTGTGTTTCATCTGTGTGTAAAGACGTTCTACCCGCCCGCCATATTAATTCCGTTATTTATTATTTTAAATGTAGTTGTGGACTCGACTACATTGGTAGAACGACACAGCGTTTAAATGTTATGATTAAATAGCACGTGCCTGCTAAAGTACTTAACAAAAAATTTTCGTTTGGTGATACCATTCGAAATACATATGGGTCTTCTATAGCGGATCACTTTATAAATAATCTGACCTGTGCTATGGATTTTAGCGTGAGCTGATTCTCTGTTCTACCCAGAGCACACTCGTTATTTCATCTGAAGGTGTTGGAGACACGGTTCATCAGGTCCAGGCGACCCGCTCTTTGCAAACAAAGAGGCTGTTTGCTTGGGCTTGCGGTGCTGTGTCTCTAGCATCTTTGGTGTTATAACTTTTATTATTAAATATTTCCCTGTCCATTCATTCATGTCATCCGCGAGAGACATTCTTCTCATAATTTGTTTCCCCGTTTACAGTTCTGACGAGAGGGAACGAAACCGGTCGACTTGCGTTTGTATTTTTGTTTTCAAATTTATCATGGCCTATAGTAAAAAAAAAATTCTTGCCTTTAATGCCATATATATATATATATATATATATATATATATATATATATATATATATATATATATATAGAAACACACAAACATACATATACACATATACAAACACACGCATATATATAAAAACACATACAAAAGCAAACTTAAACACACACACATATATATATGCATAAATGTACACACGTACACACACGCATATATATATATATATATATATATATATATATATATACAGACACACATAAATAGGTATATATATACTTAAACATACACATATATACATATATACACACATACACATCCATACACACACACACACACACACACATATATATATATATATATATATATATATATATATATATATATATATATATACAAACACATAAATAGGTATATACATACATAAACCTACACATATTCTAACAATATAATCTTATTGATGATAAAGGACTGTAAAGTCCATACAAGATTAAAATGTATTGAGACATAATTGTTGATTATTAAGTCTATAAGCAATTATAAAACCATTATTAAACAAAAGTAGATTTTAGTTAGCATTCATGATACATTCCAAGGCACTAAGATATACATACATATATATATATATATATATATATATACGAAGACATACGCACATACATCCACATATACATATACATAAGCATGTATAAGTACCTATATATACACCTCCACATATACACATATATCAGTACGGTACGCAAAACACACACACACACACACATATATATATATATATATATATATATATATATATATATACACTCGCACATGTAGGCACATACCAAAGTTAACATACGCACAAGCAAGCACACGTATGATAGGTGTCAACACGCCCGCACACACACACACACACACA